GTGTTTTTGTGAACCCTAGCCACTGGAGGGAGATGTACACCTTTCAAAGACAACAGCACTATGTTTAGAGCCTGACAGTACAGTAGCTTATCCTTTAGGCAAGCATCTTAATCATACACAAAAGGCAATTTAGGTAGACAGATGGTTTGCACAGCATCTGAATTCATAGATTATATAAAACAACAACTGTGGAAACTAAAATATGCAGGGATTTAGAAGACAGGAAGCAAATATATCAGCAGTACATAGCTGGATATTGTTATTGCTGAGATAAATATGTATTTAAGCTGTGATAGTTAAAAACTCAAACATATGAGAAGAGCTGACACATAGACAAATAGGCTTGATAGTAAGGGGGCAAAGCAGCATTTGTAAAACTGCTTTATAAAGTTGATGAAGATAACAAATGATAGCAATCTAAAGCAACTGACAGGGCTGAATTGATGATTATGTTAACCTTGATGGCATTTAAAAAAAAAAAAAAATCAGGTTTTTTCAGTTAATTCTACTGTAATACCCCACCCCCACTCCACAGAGCTGGGAAAGCAAACTGGGGTTTGAGAGAGCTTAGGAGCGCAGAGGGAGTGAAGGGCGAGGAATAAGATTAATTTTTCTCTCAGGAGGTTGGGTGGGCTGCGGATGGGGGGGGGGGGGGGGGGGACGCTCACTTTGCAGTTGCCGTGGAAAGGACATGATAGTTTGACACTAACAGAGGAGAAGAATGCCTGAAAGGAATATACATTTATCTCGAGGTCCAAATCACAGATTTTATATATCAATATTTTTGTAAAAAGACTGCCAGGAGCTGTGCATCCCAAGAGTCTGCAGCCTAGAAAATACTCATTTACAGGCTAACACTACTTCCTAAACATAGCAAGTAGTGTCACAATGCACAACAAACCACTGCAGACACACTTTACACACTGCAGATCAAACCCACTGCACAAGTTTCCTCTTACCCACTTAGCACACCTAACACAAGGTTTAACACGAAAAAGGAGCCCAGTATGATCAAGCTAACAAAATATATCCAAGGCGTTTCCCATCCGATGGCGTCGTTGACCTACAGGAGCCAAAAGCAGCCGGTAAACAGACAGAAACACATCCAGAAACAGAGAAACTCCGGCCTGAAATCAGGCAGAAGGTCTCTCTGTGCAAAGAGAGGAAGGTGCTTACCCGCTCAACACACCCAAAACCAGATTAAGCACGAAAAAGGAGCCGAAGATCACAAGACTGACAAAGTACACCCATGGAAGCTCAAGGCCCATAGCATCGTTCATCTGGAGGAACAACACCACCATAGAGGAAGGAGCAGAGTTAGAAGAGAGAAAGGAAAGAGTGAAACAGTTAAAAGGTAGAAACTGTCAGAAAAGAAGAGCAGAACAAAAGTTAAACAAAAGCTGCTTTTTCTTCAGGTGAAGAACAATAGAGATCTTGTAGGAATGTTAAAGGTGTCAGGATAGCATTGTGTTATTATTTTCGAGTTGCTGAATGCATTCAATCACTTAGTCAATCAATCATATCAGAGTGGTAAGAGCTGCCTCAGGAAATTATCAGCAGCTTCATCATCAGAATGTCAGTCACATTATTGTGGCGTGTCTGATCTGAGTAGACATTTAAGCTAAAGGCATGTGACAGTCATAGGATATTGAACTGGGAGGGCAGAGCGAGAGAACTCACCCAGTACAGCACGTCCGTCCAGCCCTCCATGGTGATGCACTGAAACACTGTCAGCATGGCAAACAGGAAGTTGTCAAAGTTGGTGATGCCACCGTTGGGACCTTGCCAGCCTTCCCTGCACTCGCTGCCATTGATGGGGCATTGGCGCCCGTGCCCTGAGATCGCACATGGAGCAGGCTCCTCTTCTGCTATCGCATCTACCAAATGAGAGGAAAAAACAGTGTTCGTAATCATCAAAATGTGTTAAGTAGTTGCTGAAAATGACTTCAAACTGGTCCTAAACTACAGGCCGTGGGCCAGATCTGGCACCTTGGACAACTTCGTCAGGCCCTATTGAGTTTACAATTTATTGTTTAGATTAAATTTTTACCTTTAACTTTTTAGCAAGACTGCAAAATTAGTAGATAGGGCTGCACGATATGGTAAAAGATCATATTATTTTGACAAATATTGTGATTGAGATATGATTCACGAATCATCATTTTTGCATTTGCATTTTTGCAAGTTTCATTTTGACTTAAAAAACTGGACTGATAATAGTCATGATGATGTGCAGCTTCTGTGATTTGCATATTGCACTTGGTCATATTGCAATTTTTGATAAATTAATTGTGCAGCCCTGCATTTTGCTTTTCATTTACTCTTCAGCAAACTACGTTTAACTGTAGAACTTAGCATAAACACTTCCTATGACCAGCAGTCCCTTATACTTTCTAAACCTTAAAGAAAGATTGATCTGGAGGACAAGGGAGGTGGATCTGATACATTTTCTACTGAGTGAAAAGTGACTGCCCTGCTCATCTGCAAGGAGAAAGCTTTTAAATATTAATCTAATGAACATGCAGAGCAGTGACATGTACAAGGGAGGGCAAAAACAAACACTGATTTTTTCAGTAACTGACTGTCTAAGCAGCCCCCCCTTGGAGAGAACAACCTGGCCAGTGGCCACCATGTAATTTGAAGAGACTTGCCATTAAAATACACAGGAGAGTGTCCTTTTTGTCATGGAGTTGCAACTCTGATAATGTTTTCAGGGAATTCTTTGTACACCTGTTAAACTGGGCCCACATGCTGCCACGGAGTACAATTACTGAAGGAGAGTACAATTTTTTAGGTACTTTACATAAGTATATCCAATTTATGCTACTTATACACTTCCACACCACTACATTTCAGAGTTGCCATAGTTGCTTTGATTTTACATACAACACATAAGATTACTAATTAAATATAATGCATGGTTACAGATTAAAGGCCCCACAGACCCTCACAGGGGTTTTAAGTTATGTTCCTGAATAGACTTAGTGAGGTTAGAAAACTAACATGAGAGCCCCTGAAGTCCCATTTTTATTTGTGTGTGTAAATTATTATCTTATATTTTCTGGCAATATTTAGGCATTTTTACTCAAGTAGAATTTCAAATGTAATGTACTTGTAAAAGTATTTTCACACTGTTGTGAAATAAATGATCTGAGTACTTCTTCCACTACTAATAATAACGTACACTAGTTTTAAGGTCAGACTGCTTTGACATACTTTAAACTGCTTGTTACAGTAGTCAAAATACAAGATATATAGTCTAGAAAAGCTGACTTGATATTATATGTCAAACAGACAATCAAGAGGGCGTACCTGAGCCAGGAATATAGCAGGTTGCGTGCATTTTACCGATGAAAAGCTCCAGGCCAATAATAGCATAGATGATGATGACAAACAGGACCAGGAGGGCAATGTGAAGAAGAGGGACCATGGCTTTAATGATGGAGTTCAACACCACCTGTAAACCTAAGCAAGGAAATTGCAAAAATATTAACTCCAGATGGTTGAGTGGTTAACCCTGCAGGATCATTTTCTTAGTGTGTTTACTGTCTAAATACAGTTAATAATGGAGGTGGACAACACTCATATTCATTTAAAATAACAATAAAATCATAACTGTATAATTACTGAGTGTTGAAAGTGTTGATTCATGTCATGTCAAGTCATGATTATGATACAATTTTGTTTATCAATAAGAGATGTGAACATACAATATGTGTAAGTCTGGCCTACTTACCTTCCTATTTCCTAGAAGTAGGAAAACTTTTATGAATTAGAAACTAGTTTCAATAAATATTTCAGTACTTCTAGAACCACATACATTTAATAAATGTGTCAGAAGTGTTTACTCTGAGTTTGTTTTTTTTATACCCAGAGTTCATGTCTCTAGGGTGTTGATGTAGATGTTGAATAGATGTTTTTGAAAAACAGTCCTCAGGGATGGTACATAGACCATCTGGACTCGTCATGTGTAACCCTTCAACCTACAATTCACTGGGACTAATAAGACCATTATACAATATGTACAGAAACCATGTGATAAATCTGAGTTAACATGGGTTGTCTGCATGTTGGTACATGAAGCTCAGCAGTTCTCACTACTTACTGGGTACTCCTGAGACCAGCCGCAGGGGTCGCAGCACACGGAAGGCTCGAAGGGCTTTAACATCAAATCCACCTGGTTTACCCCCATGCCCGTGCATTGATGGATGGCTACCTTCTCCATCTTCTTCTACTTTCTCCTCTTTGGTCAAAAGCTCCAAGACAACACTGAAGAGTCTGTCAGAAAATAAAGAAAGAACCCAACACTATAGGCCGGCCACAAGTTTGCATCTAAACTGTTATATTGAATTAGTTTTTGTATTGTCGGACCCAACAAGCAATTTGCAGATGTGACATTTTCTCAGGGAAATTATACTAAACAACTAATAAATAAGTTGCTCACTTGAGAAATGGACTTAAAAGTTAGAATTAATGTTTTGTCCTCGTATGTTCTTATATGTTATCCATTTATTTAATCAATTTGTTTTATTTTTATTGTTGTTTTGCTCTTTACTCATTTGCTGTCATTGTTTTTTTTGTATTGTCTTTTCATGTCTGATATGTCTTCCTCTCTTCACGTTAATCACGTATCTTGCACTACAAATAAAAACAAAACAAAACATTAACTCCCACGTCCCAATTCGATTTTTTTTTAAAATTTTTATTGAATATTGGCTGTGTAAAAGTTCTGTCACAAACCTTTCTGAGACATGTTGCCCTTATAATTCCATCCAGGCTGAGAGCATTTTTATTTTACTGTTGTTGATCCCTCAAAGTATCATTTAGCTGTGAAACTAAAATATAATATGTGTCATCAGTTTACTTTACAACCACCCACAAACCATACTGATATCACCAGGATAAAGTGGATTAATAAGAGTACTACACATATATTAAAGACAATGCAACAATAATGTAGATAGAGTAAAAACACTAATGGTAGGTTACACTACACGTCTTCATAGCAGCTTCTTTAAGACCTGACAAAATAATTGTTAATTATTTTCAGTATAAAGCCCAGTTACAAGTATACAAACAGCAGATAAATAGAGTCCAAGAACTGTTTCCTACTGTTGTCGCAAAGTGAAATCAGCAGTGAACGAATCTCTCACCATGAGAGCGGACACTTCATTACAGTCAGTTAGACATTCCTCACCTAGCCACGAGGGGAAATCATCTTGACACATCACATCAAAGCTGTGGACTAAAAGCAGTGAATGAAGCTGCCGATAGGGGCTGGAGGGAGATCTGAGGGCCTATAAGCGCAGTCTGCTGAGACTTATGACCGACCGCCTGCCACTCTGGTTTCCTTACTCATCCATATTCAAAAGAAAACAATCGTTCACATATCGACACATTTCTTACTGAATATACCTGAGGATAACCACTTTCATAAAAGTGATACATCAGGTTTCTTTAGCAGTCGAGCTGGATTACTTCAGTATGTCTCTTAAGGAAACATACAAGTAGTTTTAAATGTTTTAGCCCATTTCTTTCTACAGTTTATGACATCCATTGTATTTCTTTACTGTAAAACAATCAATTAGCAGACTCTTGAAACTATTTTTAACTAACTTTCCTGAGTCTAATTATTGATTTTGACACTGTACAGTAAAAAAGTAACTTGCTTCATACAAAATAAGAAAATGTACCTCCAGATATATAAAACTGTATAACGTATATTTGATGTTGACATATGATCATATCTAACTCTTCAGCTGCTGAATGCTCCAATATGTTGACACATTGTTTCTCTTACAGTGGTTATATATGAGCATTTCGCTGTCTGGTGGGGCTGCAAACAACATTAGTAGAATGGTGAGAGGGAACCAAAACAGTAAAAGCTGTAAAATCAAAACAATGAGATAAAATGCACAAAACGCTCTATATGTGTGTTTTTCTCACAACAAACCTTTCACATTACATATAGACATTTAATCCATTGTTAATATAAAAATATTTAATAGATTAATCCAGCTTTAAGCATACATTATGTGTAGTTTAAGAGCTTTAAACCCACTGACAAAACTCTCATAATTCACCTATCACAAGTCTATCTCATAATTACTCAACTCTAACTACCCTCAAAATTTTAAATGTACCTTTTTTACTGAAATTCACTAAATGTCCTTTTACATGACCTTCATGTTACCTTTTTCTTTGTTGCAAAGCCAATTTACATTTCTGACACCCATGTTTTTAAAATATTTCTCCCCACAAAAAGAAAAGAGGCTTTAACTGTAACATTATACCTTACAAGCCTTAGATGTTTTTCTTTCATTTCAACCATTTTTTGTCTATGGAGAGCATGACGGAATAAAATATGTTTCAAGCCCTGCATAAAGCACAGCTGAATCCTCAAGCCCCTATGACCTTTTCCTAACCTTTATTACACCATAACGTGACCTGCTACAAGACACACAAACACATCGAAGGCTGTTGTAAAATGGACTGGACATTGAACTCTGACATGAATTCATAAAGCCCTTCCAGATCTGTATTTACACAGCTATATGTTGACAAAAGACACTGACAGTATTATTTCAGTGTGGCAGTTCAGTGATTTAGCAGCAACAGTCACTCTTCATAGCAGGAGCAGCCGTCCTTGCATTTGACTGCATGGCATATCAACGCTGCATGCTGCATACAGACAGAGATCTGACCCAGCTACCCACTGGACTGTGTGTGTTAGAGGAGAGAAAGAGGGAGGAGAGGGAGGAAGAAAAGAGAATCTGCGATAAGGATGAAGATAACAAGAGTAGAGTGTTTACAGGAGATAGGAATGAGGGCAGAATGAGGTGGGGAAGTGTAAAGCATGAAGTAGATGCATTTGAGAGATCAAAATGGAAGGTGGAAGTATAAGAAAGAGACAAAGCAGAGCAGGATGGGAGAGTGTGAGCGAAAGACAGTCAGTGAGAGGAGAGGAAAGAGAAAAATGGGAGGGAGTGTTGGAGAAGAGATGAAGTATGGAGAGATGGTGACTCACTCCAGTGGTGGAAAAGCTCTGATTTATTCTCTCTGTCTTTTCTGGGTCATATACTGTGGGTGTATGAGGGTCTCTATTAGCACTTGGCCGCATGGAGCAGAGGCTTAAGCAACTTTAACTTTAACACTGACTGTCTCTCAGAAACACTGTAAACTGCAACTGTCAAACTGAGATGAAAGTAAAACTCCAAACGTCAGACTAAAATAACAAAACCTCATGACGCAGTCTGCAAAAGAACGCGCTGTTTGGATCTGCTGGCGTGATGCCCACCGTAGTAGGCAATTAATTCAACATATAAGACATTTTGTTAGACTTACCCTATGACGACAATGACGAAATCCAGCATGTTCCAACCGTTTCGCACATACGCGTTCTGGTGCATCACCAAACCATAAGCGATAATCTTCAGAAAGGTCTCAATTGTGAAAATGATGAGGAAGGCATACTCAACCGTTTCCTGTGGCACACAGAAAAAAAAGAGAACAATAGACCTTTAATAGAAAGCAGATATAATGGATAATCATAAAAATGCATGAGCATGGTATTAATGCTGTGCTTTTGGTGGACAACACACAGAGGCACAAACAAGGAAGCACAGATAAAGAAATAAATCCAGCTTTGTAGTCAAGTAAAGACAAAGCAACTGTTTGTGGGAATACCAGGGACAACAATGCAAATAAGTCCAAGACCTTAAGTGTACTTTATTCCAATCTACAGAGCTATCTTTGTGTACAGATAGAGTTACAAATACATAATTGCTTTTAAATTCCCATTTTATGCTGTTATTCCCTAACTTCACATATTTCTATAGCTACTTGTTACATCTATGACAAAATATGATACGTTTTAAAGATATATTGGAATGTCAATAAACCAAACCGAACTAGCAAAGGTGCATGTTGTTACACAAATACAAAGTCAGAGTGACGGCTGCAGTGAGAAAGGTCGAGCTTGTTGAATTTACATAGGAGGATGACAATCTAGTTCACCAGTGTGACATGTTGATTTTCTTTTACATGTGAAAGTCAAATCAATCAACATTGTTTAACCAGAGCAGCAAAATCTCCCTTTGTCCTGACCTCATTCTTATCTGATCTGGTTCTCACACTTTCCAACACTTCACACATCACATATTCACACAACACCATGAAAACCATGACAATATGATAAACTTGTGCTAGGTGCAAAGGAACATTCAGAGTTTCAAAGAAAGGTAATCATCAGTGGTTTTATTTAGTTTCATGTAACCTCCAGAGGCAAGAAGTAATACAGTATGAATACTTTGTTACTGTACTTTTTTTGTTGTTTTTTCCGGTATCTGTACTAACAAACATAACATAACAAGATGAAACAGACAAGAGAGGGAGAAACAGCCACTAACTAATGTCTTCCAGGGAAACCAAGAGAGTACTTTTACTTTTATACTGTGAGTACATTCTGCATTTTTAAATAAAGAAGTTGAATTAGTACTTTTACTGGAGTCTTGTTTTACACACGTATCTGCGCTTTTACTCGAGTAAAGAATGTGTGTACCTCTGTCACCTCTGGTAACCTCAAAATGAGAGTGAAAAGACCAGAAGCTGTTCTGACACACCAAACCAACCATGCAATAACTTTAAAAGACGGTTCAACGTTTTGCATTTGAACACACAACGAATACACCTGACCACTTAATGCCTGTACCTTGTGAATAACTAGTCAGTAGTCTGTGCTTGTAATCCAACAAGAAGAAAACAAAACTTTTTCTTATTTCCTTAGAATTTTAACTGATAATATGTGACATTAAGGTAAAAACTTGCTTGGCTAAGTAATCAGTAATCTTTTGCAACTCAGCATTGTGCCATTGTTGAAGAAAAAAAAGGCAAAGGCACAAATAAGGATAAAAATGGCACTAAATGGGTAAACACTGATTCACTAGGCCCAACAACCAGTTCTGTTGCTCGCCGATGCATGAAGGTAAAAAGGGACAAACGCACTTTGAATAAAATGACTGTTTTTAGAGGGTATGCAGAGATTAGAACCAGTGATGTAACTCAGCAGTGCGCCATTCTCCGGTTGTTTCAAAGACAGGCAGAGCACAGGAACATCAAGGTTGAGGTCGATTGGGAGAGAAGCGGACACACACATAGCTAGATAAAAGCACACATGGCTAGATAGAATCACACGTAGCTAGATAAAGGTGGTATGTGGATGTTGGTGCAGTGAAATGTGTGAGATGCTGGAGGTGGACACACAACACAGAGTGACTCAGCCGTTTAGGACAGTCCTGGGACCTCCCTGGAGATATGAAACCATAGAGGCCCTCTTCATCCTTTATGCATGAGGCAGGTCAACATACAACTCTTGCACACAAGCTGGTATTCGTAATATTCGCCTGTCAACACTCATTTAACTTTTCACACGGGATGCCCTTTAGGTTCTTATACTACACAATAGAAAACAAATTCTAAAAGCCACACACATACACATATATATTATTATATACATAATAACCTTTCGCGCCTAAGGGAGTCCTTAATCCCCTCCTCTGTGTTCTCTGCGGACACCATAAATGCAAGAGCACTGTGGGCTGCGGGTCTCGTTTTCCCAACAGTTTACTGCAGATTGTGAGAAGCACTTAGCCCACAATAAGAGACATGGGCCTCTTTGTTACTGAAGTAAAAGGTTGAGTTAAGCTTACGGCTGCTGCCTCTATGACAGAGCAAGCTTGGGGGGCCACAGGGAGCAGAGAGAACGGATTCACACGAGGACAGAAGAAAAGAGGCATTTATAGACCAAAAGGACCAATAATAAACTGCTGCTGCAGTAAAAAAAAAAAAGGCTTTAGTTAGGTTGTTAACAAGTGCAAATAAGCAACGGTTCTTCCCCATGTCTTTTTATATGCTTGCCAAAGATCTATCAAAGAAGTACCATCATGTGGGCACACTCTAAATATGAATTTAGAATAATAATAATATAATACTTTCTCCTGAGTGGTCGACAAAAGTAATTGAATGATAATTTTAAAGATACTGAAATTAGCATGTAAAAGATTGTCGGAACACTTTTAGCTTTCCAAGCCTATATAAAACAAATGTATGCAAATTGCCACTTCCTGGTTCGTGAAAAGCATGTTAAATATAACAGCAAATGATAACCATTCCCTCTCAATTAAGCACCAATTTATTCAATCATCAGCAGAATAGAAAGAGGGAGAGCAGAAATAGAAAGAGGGAGAGACACAGAGAGAGAGAGGAAAGAGGCCTTTGTGGATGACCATAAATATCTCTAACTCATCTTTACTTTATTGGTGCTGTAAAGAGACTTACTGTACCATGTTTCCTCATATGTTTCCTCATACAGTAGATGCATTGTATCGGAAGTGAATACGATCACTTCACTTGCCGCTGTTCTCTTAGGTATACATCACAACATGATATCACGCATACACAGACGCGTGCATACACAGCTCCTGTTTATGTCCTAAAATGCACACAAACAGCACATCATTAAACATGATAAAAGCAGGATACCATACGGCATCATGCACGCTCCTCCTCAACCCCCACAGCCATATAGGCCCTCCCCTGCGACAGTGTTCATGTCTACAGGCACAACCCAGTTCATCTCACACACTCACAGAGCTCAGATCACCGTATGACAAAGGATGCTAACCGTGCATTCTTCTACATAACTTGCCATATGACCGAGCCATGCGGACAGCGGTAATGTAAACCTATTAAGGGTTCAGATGGTCCTGTGTGCAATGCTTATGAGACTGCACACAGAAAATCACCAATTAAGATTTTAATAAGGAGTGAAAATGGAGTCATAAAATTACAATAAAACAGCTTGTCTTTCTATTACAGCATCATTATAATTTATTATCTAAATAAAGCCAGTTTCAAATGCAGCCTCCTAAGTGAGACCAGGAGTATTAACACTAATCATAGCTCTAAAATATGTTCAATTCAATATATATTCAAATAAATTCAACATGAAACTTTGCTTGAATATTTGCTGTTGCTTCTACACCAGCCATATACCAGCCCCTAATCAAGTCAAGTAATTTTATTTGTATAGCCCAATATCACAATTCACAAATACAGCATACAACACGCTGTATCCTCAGACCTTTGATTCGCATAAGGAATAAATACACAAAATGTGTGCACAGAATATACAAACAGTAAAATTATAGTATGGACAATCAGGATGACAAACAGTAACAGTAATGATATATATTATATATTATATATATATATATATGATATATAAAAACTTTTTCTGCAGAGGTTACTAGATGGAAATAACCCCCTAAATAAAGCTAGAGCCTGAGACGTATAGTACCTCTAAAGCTCACTAATTAATACCTTATATCTTGTTAATTTAATCTGTACAAAAAACAAAATGTAGAAACAAACAGTGGTTTTGGGTACTTAGTGCTGTTTTTTTTAAATATATATGTTCATTTATGAGTTTTGGGGGGGGGGTAGAATTATTTGTTTCACTTTTGGACGGAGCCAGGCTGTTTCCCCTGATTCCAGTTTTTGTGATAATCTAAATGGCTGCTGGTATTAGCTTCATATTTAACATTCAGACATGACAGCAATATGCATCTTCTAACTTAACTCTGAGCAAAACAACACCAATATTCATATTTTGTATTTATTTTTTTACAGTAAGATGCAGAAAAACAAACAGAGAATACAGAGCAACATTAAAGAGAGAGGTCAAGCTTCAGTTGTCTTGACGGTTTGCTACATTTTAGTGTGGACCTACCACAAAAAAGATTAATATGAAAGGATAAATTTAACCTGTATAAAGATTGAACCTAACCAAATCGGATGTCAAGGTTAATCTTTATCACTTTAATCTCACAATGAGACAGTCATTCAACTGTAAATGACAGTAAATTACATTAAGAGGAACCAGAGTAGGCCCGTACTGTATGAAGTAGTATGTTTGCCTTACTCTTCCTGTACAGAGACACATGACAAACAATCTTAGAATTAAAAATAATATAATCAAGAAAAATTCTTATAGATACCAATATACCAACATGTTAAAAACTTGACATTGCAATTTCCCAAAGCCCAAAGTCAAATTTAATGCAGTCCAACAGTCCAAACCCCAAATTTATTCAGTTCTTAAGTGTAGAGAAATATGAAAAAAATAGAAATTATTCATATTTGAGAGGCTGGAACTAAAAAATTTCATTCATTCCTTTCCTATCAAACAAGTAACCCATTAAAGGACTAACCGTTGCAGCTCTAATATTCTGTATTCATTCTCTTGACCACCTGAGTGCTACTACATGTGCGTGTATAGAAAGCCACATCTGAGCGTGTGGCGGCGAGCCCACGGTCACGAGTCAGAGTGACATCATGCATGTTTGAAAACTGAGTGCGACCAGAGCGCTTACAAGCAGAGCAAACACAACAAACAACAAGCAATAATACCAATGTCAACGCAAGC